ACCACTTTGCTGAACATGTTTATGAGCTCATGGTTTTGTGGTGGAGTGTTTAGGGTCTGTCATGTAAGATCCATGTCATTTGTAATAGAGATTTTTTAAAAAAATGTTTTTCCTCTTTGCATCCCTTTCATTTCCTTTTCATAGTGCTCTAGTAAAACGTCAAGCATTCTGCTGAGCAGGAGTGGAGAAATGGACACTGTTGACTTCCTTCTGACTCTGATCTTAGTGGGGATGCTTTGAGTTGTTCTCTATTTGGCATGATTTTTTTTAAAGCTTAGATTTCTGTTTACCCAATAACAACCCTTCTGTTAACCTGGCCAGAGTCCTTCTGTGTAGGACATTGTCACCAGCACTGCCATTTGGGGGCCTGCTTTGGATTTAACAAAAAGTACTTGCTGCTCTTGTAAAGAATTGAGTTCACTTACCAGCACCCACATGGTGGTTCACTATTTTCTATCTGTATCCCCAGGTATTCCAGGGGATATAACTCCTTTTTCTGACTTGACATACCCTAGGCATACATGTGGCACATATACATACATATAGGCAAAAATTCACATAAAGTCCAAATTCTCTTTAAAAATCCAGTCTTGCCAGGTGGTGATGGTGGTGTACACCTTTAATCCCAGCACTCAGGAGGCAGAGGCAGGTGGGCCTGGCAGAGGCCAGCCCAGTCTGTAGTTCATGTTCCAGGACAGGCTCCAAAGCTACACAAAGAAACTCTGTCTCGAAAAACAAACAAAAAATGGAAAGTCTTGGGCTGGACGAATGGCTCAGCGGTTAGAGCACGGACTGCTCTTGCAGAGGACCTGAGTTCAATTCCCAGCACCCACATGGTGGCTCACAATTGTCTGTAGCTCCAGTTCCAGAGGATCTGACATCTGTATAGAGACATACGTGCAGGCAAAATGTAAATACAAATTTAAAAAAATCCTGGGTGTGATGGCTCACACCTTTAATTCCAGCACTTGGGAGGCAAGGCAGGTGAATCTCTGAGGTGAATCTTTTTTTTTTTTTTTTTAAATTTATTTATCATAATACAGTGTTCTGTCTGCATGTGTGCCTGCAGGCCAGAAGAGGGCACCAGATCTCATTACAGATGGCTGTGAGCCACCATGTGGTTGCTGGGAATTGGACTCAGGACCTCTGCAAGAGCAGCCAGTGCTCTTAACCTCTGAGCCATCTCTCCAGCCCCCTCTGAGGTGAATCTTAAGGCCAGTCTGGTCTACATAACAAGTTCAAGAAAGGAGGAAAAATGGTTTCTAAATGGACTTGGTGGTACAATTCTAGCATATGGTTGAGGCAAGAGAATTGTAAGTTCAGGCTAGCCTAAGCCACATAATAAGAATATCTTAATATGTGTGTGGCCTTGTTAGAGGAGGTGTGTCTTAGGGGGTGGGCTTAGAGGTTTCGTGCCAGTGTTCCCTCTCTACCTCTTGCCTGAAGATTAAGATGTGAACTCTTAGCTACTACTCCATCCCTGCCCCTCCACCCACATCACAGTGCCCTTGCCCTACGCTCATAGAGTCTAACCCTCTTTCTTTGATAGGCTGCCTTGGTCTTGGTGGTTTGTCACAGTAATAGAAAAATAATTGAAACTTGATATCAGGAAGTATACTACTACTGTGACAAACCTGACCCTGTTGATTTTTGGAGGAATGTGGAGGACTTTGGGACTTTTGAGTAGGAAAGTAGTTGGTTGTATGTTGTGAGCAGGGCTTAACAGGACATCCTAATAGCTTGCAAAACAGCAGTGCTGAGAGCGCCCCAGACTGGAGCCGGAACACCTGGGCTACTGGGCTAGAGATCGTTCTTGGGATTTTTGTCAAAGAATACGGCTGCTTTCTGCCTTTGTCCTAAGAATTTTCCTGAGACTAAATTTAAAACTAAACATTTGGAGGTTTAGGGATTTAGTTCAGTGGTAGAGTGCTTGCCTAGCAAGTGCAAGGCCCTGGGTTCAGTACTCAGCTCTGGGGGTGGGGGGCACTAAACATTTGGTTGGTAGAGGAGATTTCATGACAGCCTAATACAGACTTTGTTGTGTGGTTATTAGATCTTCTGCAGAACTACATGAGAAAGTTTTTGTTGTTGTTGTTGTTGTTGTTGTTTTCTCTTTGCTTTTTTCAGGACAGCCCTGGCTGTCCTGGAAACTCAGACTGTAGAAACAAGCCAGCCCCCAGCCTCAAACTCAAGAGATCTGCCTACCTCTACCTCTGTCTCTCAAGTGCTGGAATGTGCCACCATGCCTGGCTCAGAAAAAGGTAATATTGACTGTTGTGTGGTTATTAGTGATCACTCTTATGCAGATCTACAATGAAAAAGAGCAAGTAGGGAAAAAAGAAATATAAACTATATAATTTTAAGAGAAAAACAGCACCAGGAAATTTAATTTTTAAGCCAAGGCTTGTGCTGAAGGAGAAAAGGAGACCAGGGCTGGGGAGATGCCCCAGTGGTTAAGAACACTGGCTGCTCTAGCAGAGTACTTATGTTTGGTTCCCATAGTGTGCCAATTCTCAGCCTCTGTCAATCCTGCAGCCTCCGTGCTGCCAAAACTAATACTACATGGGAGACTCTTACATATTACCAAAATCAGCACCCACACAGTAGCTCACAACCATCTGTTACTCCAGTTCCAAGGGAGTTAACCACATGTACACAGACATACAGGGATATACATAAAATGTACATAAAAATAAATCCTTAGAAAGGAGAAAAGCTGGGCAGCAGTGGTGCACACTTTTAATCCCAGCACTCAAGAGGCAGAGGCAGGTGGATCTCTGTATTATAGGCCAGCCTGGGCTACAGAGCGAGTTCCAGGACAGCCAGGGCTACTCTTTAAAAAAATACAAGAGAGAGACAGGTGATGATCGGGTTCAAAGGAAGGCCTGGTCTGTATTGGGATAAAGGCCTCATTGTCTTAGTTACTGTTCTATTGCTGTGAATAGACAGCATGCCAAGGCAGAAGAAAGCATTTATTCAGGGCTTATTGTATGGAGTTAAGAGTCCATGGTCATTGTGACAAGAAGCATGGCGACATTCAGGTATGGTGCTGGAGTAGCTGAGAGCTTGCATCTCATCTGAAGTAGAGAGAGAGAAAGAGAGAGGGGGGGAGGGAGGGAGAGGGAGAGAGCGCAAGCGAGCTAGCCGGCCTGGTGTGAGCTTTTGACACACACACACCTCCTCCAACAAGGCCATACCTAAACAATCCATCAGCTGGAACCAAACATTGAAGTATATGAGCATATGGGGGCCTGTCTCCCTCAAACTATCCAGGTTCTCTCAGGACAAGACTCCACCCAGCTAAGCATCTAACAAGGAAAAAGGAAAAGTCGGAGGCATTTGCTACTTCTAAAAAGCAACTTCAAAGGAAAGCTGCTGCAAATGTGATTCAGTGGTGCCAGGCTACGTTCCAAGAATGCAGCAGAACTTGGCCATGTGGACCATTGTCCATGTAGAGTCATGAAGGAAACATTGGAAAAGTGGTTATGGAATCTTCCTCTGTAGTTATGGAGAGCCACTGAGGCCAGGTGTTGTAGTAGGGAAGTCCCTGCATGGAGGCACTGAGACGCCTTTCTGAGAAAAAGTGAAGCCTGCATCTTAGTGGAGATCCCTGAGTCATGAGACATCTGCCAAGGAAAGATGAAGGCAGGGAGTGAAGCCAGCCTAGAGAAGAGAGAGTGTTCTGGGCAGCCTAGTCGGAAAGGTGGAAGTGCTTAAGCCCTGACACTGGACATGGAGCCAAAGGGTTTGGGGCTTGCTCTGCTAGGTGTTGTTCTTGCTTTGGTCCAGCATTTCCTCACTGTGCCCTGTTCCTCTCATTTGGAATAATAATGCATGTTCTGTGCCATTGTGTGTTGGAATTATGTAATTTGCTTTTTTACAGGGGTTACAGTTAGGAGATTGCCTTGAGTTGTAGAAGAGATTTGGACCGTTAAATAGTGTTGAGACCATAAAAGTCTATGGATTTATCGTGAATTCTAATTGGTCTTAATAATAAAAACCTGGAGTCAGATATCAGGGTGAAAGCTGGAAGATCAGAGAAGCAGAGCAGCAGCCACTAGAAAGACTTCTTACCTCTAGGAATCCTCAGCCTGAAAAGGGCAAGCTCCTGTCTTCACCTTACCTTATCACTTCCTCTCTCCACCCAGCCATATCCCTTCCTATTTCCTCCTCCCAAGTGCTGGGATTAAAGGTGTGTGCTACTACTGCCTGGCATCTAGTGGCTAGCTCCTCTGATCTCCAGACAAGATTTATTCGTTAAGGTAAAGCACAAACAAAATATTACCACAGGAGACTTCTGAGGTTGACTAAATGCATTTTGTATCATAGTGTGGCCTGTGGGGGTCAGGGAGTGCAATGTGGAGGTTTGAATGAAGACTGGCTCCCTAGGCCATGTTTGAATTTTTGGTCCCCAGTGGTTGAACTATTTGGTAAGAACTGGGTATGACCTTGTTGATGGAGGTGTGTCATGGGGGTGGTCTTTGAGGTTTCAAAGGACTTGTGCCATTTCCAGTGTGCTCTCTGCCCTCTACTTGTGGATCAAGATGTGAATTCTCAGCTGCTGCTCCAGCTGCTTGTGGCCTAGCCTTCAAAGCCCTCTGGAACATAAGCTGGGTTAAACTCTTGTATAAGTTGCTGTGATCATGATGTTTTGTTATAGCAATAGAAAAGTAACTATGACAAGCAGCAAGCACTCCTAACCACTGAACCATCTCTCCAGCCCCTATTTTTTTTTTTATCATCTTTAGTTATGTGTAGATGTTATGTGTCTGCATGTGTGAATGTGCATGTGTATTGGCTAGTTTTATGTCAACTTGACACAAGCTAGAGTTATCAGAGAGGAAGAAACCTCAATTGAGAAAATGTCCCATGAGATTGGGCAAGTCTGTGGGGCATTTTCTTTTTTGTTTTTAGAGACAGTGTTTCAGATGTGTAGTCCTGGCTGTCCTGGAACTCGATCTGTAGACCAGGCTGGCCTAGAACTCAGAGATCTACCTACCTCTGCCTTCTGGGTGCTGGGATTAAGGGCATGTACCACTACCACCTGGTTGCATTTTCTTAATTAGTGACTCAGGGGAAGAGTCCAGCCCATTGAGGGTGGGGCAACCTGTGGTTCTGAGTCCTATAATAAAGCAGGCTGAGCAAGCCATGAGTAGCCAGTAAGCAACACCTTCCATGGCCTCTATCAGCTCCTGCCTCCAGGTTCCTGTCCTGTGAGTGGCTTCCCTCTGGACTGTGATTCTGGATATGGAAACCAAACAAACCCTTTCCTCCCCTGTTGTGTTGGTCATAGTAACTAACTGGGACAGCATGGATTGCAGGCCAAAGACGTTGGAACTGTAGTTGCCGACAGTTGGGAGCCACCTGATGTGGGTTCTGGAAACTGTGCTCTCAACCTCTGAGCTTTCTCCAGCTACCTCCAATACCGATTGGAACTAGGTCTGAGGCACGTGGGCAATTATATTGGACACCGTGTTGGTAACAAGATGGTGTACAAAAACCATCTGATGCCGGTTAGACTGCAGCCTGCTGAGCTCCCCAAGGACTAGAACAAGATAACCGTATTATCTCCCCTGAACAGAACCATGCCTGTGCTCGAGCAAAAGGCAGTCCAGGGCAGGAACTGGGCCAGTTTATCACTTCAGCGCCTGCTGTCACTCAGGAGTCGCTGGGCGGCTCTAGCCAATCAGGGCCTCCAGGCTCACACTGTTCAATGAAAAGCGTCGTGGGGCCGCGGGAGGCGGGGTCTGCCTGGCCGCCATGCAGTGGACTGAGCTCCGCAGCTGAGGGAGGCCCCGTGGGTGCGTGTGCCGCGATCTGAGGAGAGTGCAGGCGAAGTCGGACGCCGTGACATGGTGAGCGCGGTGCTGCTGTCCCCAGACGGGGAGGAGCAGCAGCTATGGTGGCTCCTCCAGACCCCGGGCTGCGGAACTCCGGCCCTTCGCGGCTGCCGCTCTGCAGCTCCGCCCCTTGGCCGCGTCTGCGCAGAGCGCTGGGCGCCGCAGCGAGGCTCCGCCCTCCACCTCGGTGACGTCGTCACTCACAGCCGTGGTTTGGGTGCTGAACCTGGAGGCTGGTTGCTGACCTCCATGTCCCGCGGGTTCCCTAAGTTATCCTCACATTTAGGTGGAGAGTCCACTTTGAGTTAATTTTGTGGAAGTTGTAAACTAATTTTTTGCTGTGGACGCCCAGGTTGTCGGATAATATTTGAGAATACCATAATCTCCCCATTGAGTTTCATTTGCTCTTTCTTTTTTTG